GGCGCCGAGCGTGCGGCTGCCCCTCCTCTTCCCTGCCTCAAGGACAGCCTAATAAGCCGTCTGCCGAGGCCCATAGTTTGACACCACTTGAACTGCCATGGCTCAATGCTATGGAATCCTGGGATCTGCAATTTGTTGTAGCACTAGAGCTCATTGACAGAGAAGGCTAAATATCTCACTAAATGACAAATTCCAGAATTCCAAAGTATCGACCCATGGTAGTTAAAGCAGTATCAAACTGCATTAATTCTGCAGTGTAAATGAAGACCAGGAGGAGGAAAAAAACTGCTCCAAAAACTCAAGTTTGGTGATGTCACAGAGAGGATGTCGCAAACTACAGGGGAGAGCTGGTGAAGTTACATACATGCCTTGTATTAGTTGGATATGGAGGGGCCAGCCCATAAATGCTGAGAAGGAGGCACCATTTCATCCCATCCCATCCCACCCTATCTCACAACACATAACCTACACAGCACACCAGATATATTGGTGCCACAGTAATCTTCCCTACAAGTAACATCAAAAATAACACACAAGAAACAAAAAGAGCAGGCATCCCTACATACAGAGTTTGAACTCCTATACTGCTCATAACTACTGCTTTTTTCTTTTTGTTATTTCTGTAGCAAAAAAAAAAGGGGGGGGGGGAAGAAGAGAAATTATATATAACACTCATACTCACACATGTGTGTGTTTGTGTGTGTTCCAGCATCTAAAGAGATCCAGAGTGGTGTAGTGGTTTGAGCACAGGACTTGGACTCTAGAGATCAGGGTTCAATTCCCCGCACAGCCATGAAAACCCATTAGGTGACTTTGGGCAAGGCATACACTCTCAGTCCTAGAAAACCCCATGATAAAGAGCATGAGGGGGGTCCACTTTAAAGTTTGCTCCTCCTCATTTCTGCATTGGAATTTAATGCAGGGATTTCCTCCCCCCAAAAAACATAAAACCAAAGATTTTTTTTTGAAATAACAAAAAAAAAAAAAAACACCCCACTTTTTGTGCACATTTTCCAGCTCTGAAGCAGATGTAATCTTCTGTCCCTATTGTAGGCATGGTCATAATCTGAAGGGACATAAGATATGTAATATATGGCTGCTCTTCCCTTGTCCTACCCATGTATCCACCTCATTTTGTCAGCATTGCTGAGTTGTGGTGTTGAAAAAGATACAGGGTGAGCTTAACCAGAATTCCAAAATCCAAATACTCCAAAAACCAAAACTTTTTTTCATGGGTGGCTGAGACAGTGACACCTTTGCTTTCTGATAGTTCAGTGTACACAAACCTTGTTTCATGCACAAAAGTATTTAAAATATTGTATAAAATTACTTTCATGCTATGTGCGCAAGGAGTATATGAAACATAAATGAATTTTGTGTTTAAACCTGGGTCCCAACTCCAAGATATCTCATTATCTGTGCATATGCATATACTGATATGCCAAAATCCCCCCAAATCAAAAACAGATTTGGTCCCAAGCATTTCAGATAAGGGAGACTCAACATGTACACTGATGTATCTCCAGGTGCCTCTAGAAGTTGAAGTCCAAACATCTGGGGAGCCAACAGCTGGCAAATGTCACAGTGGAAGATCCAATCCCACCAGCAGTGTTACAATACAATTCCATGTGGAGAGATCTTGCAGCACCTTTGAGACTAACTGAAAGAAAGAAGATGGAAACATGAGCTTCCGTAGACTTAAAATTTGCAGATGTAAAATTCCAATTTATTGGGAATGGGGAGCCATCCTGTTCTTTGCTTTGGGCAACAAAATGTCTGAGACTACTGTAGCATATCACCAAGTTGCACTGATGGATACAATATGGTGGAAACATATCTAAAATGCCACCAATGCAGCAGGTATTCTGCTATTACTGCAGCCTCTCAGTCAGTGTAACTGATTTGTGCCCTCATTTACCCTTTCTAGGGAAGCTTTTACCACAAATAACTCCTCATTTATTTGGTTCTGCCTCAAATGTCCATGATAATCTAAGAGATATGCTCTGAAGAAAAACGACTTCAGGAGGTACAGTCACTAATGGAAAATAATCCTGCCTTAATGCACCCATTTGAATTCAGTCCATGATCCACTCCCTGGCCACAGTAAACATCCCCTGCTCTCAATCAGATACAATGCTAGTAAAAACAAAAACAAAAACAAAAAAAAACCAACCCCAGACGCTTTAATGGGGTAAAGAATAAGATCTCAGAGAATGGAGCAGTCTTTCATTCAGAACATCTCTGTGAAATCATGAATCAAAGACACACGGGGTTCATTTGATAGATGAGGTCACACTGAGCAGGAAAGGGGATGGGAGAGTGGATTGCCAGCCTAGAGAAACCACCTAGCAATTATCTATACTTTCCCGAATTAAAAGCCTATTATTTTCTAGCATTTCAGTTTCACCCTATTTTTGAAGGAGCATAACAGGCACAAATTGCAGTATGTTTTTCTAATTGCAATTATATCAGAAGCTCTAATTAATGTCTAAATTAAAGGCATGTTGACTGCTTAGTTAATTATTCAGTTCCATGTTACTTATTAAAGCCACACACCTGTCATGACATTTTGTTTGAATTCAGATACCCATATGTGTGTTTGTGAGAGAGTGTGTGTTGTGGAGTGGGGAGAAGAGAAGACAGCACAAATTTGCTTTTTATTGTTGACAGATCTATTCTAAATTATCAAGCATGACCTTATGAGAATTCAAGAATTGCTTTTCCAGGCTGGCCTCTTTTTGATCAAAGTGAGCTTCTACCACATATCTTTAATCTGTGTGAGAAAACAGAGGACTGTGTGAGTCCTCTAGGTGCCAATAAATTTTTCCTTCATGGAATAACTTTAGAGACATAAGTGTTAGAACCTGAGCTGGGAAAAGTTACATTTTTGGATTTAAACATTTAAAAGTATTGCTAACTAGGGGATTCTAAGGGCTGTAGTCCAAAGACAATAATACTTACAAGCTCTGGTCCGGATTCAAATTACTAGTCCTGTTACTTCTTACAAAACAAAGAGAGAGAGATAGGACAATCCAGAACAAAGATATCAAATGTCACACTTAATTCAGACATCAGGGGTCCTGAAACAGGGAAGTTCCATTGTGACCGCCAAACATTTCAACTGTAGGGCAGACATGACTGCTTTGTTTCATTTGAATTATATTTTAATATTGTAAAGTAAGTTTTGGAAGCCTTTGCAGTGAAACAGGCTTGATGAAAAATCTTACCTATCTTTATAGTTCAAAATGTTCTTTTACCTCTTTTATTAATATAAGTGTAGCCATGACTGTTCCAAAAGAAAAGACAGTCAAGGAGATTTTCGGGGGGGGGGGGAGGAGAACTCTATTTAAAATTCTGCCTGAAGCTTATCTGTAAAGAGCTATCAATCCACTCACTTACTAGGCTCAAGAGCAAAAAAAGGGATATAGAAGTGAATATGGAAACCCATAAAATCAAGCGTAAGACACTGAACTGGGAAATTTCCATTTGTTTTCCTTCCACAATACCACTGTAGAGGTGTTTTACTCAGGGGAAGGAAATGTTCTGAACTGCTGAGCAGACTCAGGAGAAGACCCTCTTGGAAATGAACAGTGCTTCATCCAACACATGCCATTCAAAAACATGTATATAGCATTCAGAACTTGGAAAAGTTCCTCTTTTGATCACACTACTGGGAACATTTGGGAATTCCCTCCCCCCAAAAATATGATCTTGGACAAGTTCTAGTCTCTCAGCCTCTGGGAAAGGCAATGGCAAACCCCCTCTGAACAAATTTTGTCAAGAATCCCCCATCATAAAGTCGCCATAAGTTGGAGACAACTTGGAAGGCACATAACAAAGCTCCCCAAAGTAACTATTTCAAGCTCTAACAGCTGTGAAATGCCTTCTAAGAGCTTATTTCAGCCAAACATAGGGATCAAGAAATTGGCATACACTTACCGAAACAACTAACAGAGCACTTTACTTATTTGTCTCTGTGCAGGAGGGCCTAAATACTCTAAAGGCACCAGACCAGTCTGATCTTGGAAGCTAAGCAGGGTCAGACCTGGTTAATACTTGGATGGGAGGCTGCCAACAAATACCAGATGTTGTAGAGAAAGGAACTGTAAAAACTACCTCTGAGTATTCCTTGCCTAAGGAAACCCTATTCATGAGGTTGCCAAAGGTCAACAGGGGACTTAAGGCACATGCCCACACACACAGAGCAAAAAATGCTGGAAAGGATTCTACAATATGAGTTTTAAAAAAAGAATGGCCAGTCAACTCCAGCAGTTTCTGGATGAAATAAGATCAATTTTAGGAGCTTATCGCTCAGCTTTTCAAATTGGCTTACCTGTCCCAGCTTAAAATTTAATTTGGGCAGCATCCTGATATCACAGCGATTTTGCTACCAAATCTGCTGCCTAGGTCCATCCTCACTCCCAGGGGCACTCTGGCAGCCATTTTCTTAAGCTGGAGAACTCCCAATTTCAAAAAAGAGGTGAGCTGAGCACCCCTGGGGCGGGGATGGACCCGGGATGGACTCATGCGGCAGATTCGGTGGCAAAATCACTGCAATAATTTCAGGATGCTGTCCAAATTAAATTTTAAGCCAGGAGAAGTAAGCCGATTTAAAAAGCTGAGCAATAAACTCATTAATCTCATTTCAGTCCTGGCTATAGGACAGAGACAGCTTCGGTTGCATTAGCAGATGATGTAGACTGGGAACTGCACACAGGAAGTCTGTCATTGTTTCTGTAGACTTCCCAGTAACTATATCTTTCAATACCATTGACCTTGATATCCTTCTGGGCTGCCTTGCAGGGCTGGGAATTGGAGGTACTGTTTTACAAATGCAGAAGGAGGTGCTGTGGGACTCCTGCTTGATGTCTTGGTCATTGGCTTGTGGGTTCAGTTATGTCCTCCTTCCTATTTAAATTAGAGATGAAACAATTGGGATCAGTCATCCAGAGTTTGGGGACCTGGTGCCATTAGTATGAAGATGACAAGCAGCTCTATTAGTCTTTTCCACTTAAATCAAAGGAAGCTGTCTCAGTTCTAAACCAGCGTCTAGCATCAGTAATAGGTTGGATGAGAGCAAACAAACTGAAGCTTAATCCAGACAACATAGAGATGCTCCTGAACAATCAAAAGGCAAATCAGGGAACAGGGATTCAGCCTATGTTAGATGAGCACTCCTCTTGAAGACACAGGTTTATAGTTCGGATATACTCCTGGAGTGAGCCTGGATGCTCAAGTTTCTGAGGCAGCCAAGAGGGCATTTGGATACTTAAAGCCAATGCACCCCTGGCCTTAGTGACAAATGCCTTAGATATGTCCTGTCTGGATTACTGTAAAACATTTTACAGGGGGATGACTTTGAAGAGTGTTTGGAAACTTCAGCCGGTGAAAAAGCTGCAGTTGGATTGTTGTTAACCAGGACTAAATATAGAAAGTGCACAGCTCCATTGGCTGATAAACTGTTTCGGGGCCCAATCCAAAGTGCTGGTTATGACCTATACATTCTATATGACTTGAAACCAGGATACCAGAAGGACCATATTCTCCCCCATGGCCTGCCTATGTTTTGAGATCTTCAGGGGAGACCCTTCATTCTGCCCAATCACCCTCACAGATACATTCGGCTGTTCCCAGGCTCTGGAACTCCCTCCCTTGAGAGGTTAGACTCGGAGTGTGGTGGAGTCTCCTTCTTTGGAGGTCTTTAAATAGAGGCTGGCTGGCCATCTGTCGGGATGCTTTGATTTTGAGTTCCTGCATGGCAGGAAGTTGGACTGGATGGCCCTTGTGGTCTCT